AAACCAGTAAAAAAAACATATCTAACTTTATGGATCTTTTAAAAAATAGCTCTTCATATAAATCCTTAAGCTATGCACAGAATTATCACACATTTTATGCAAAACAACCAGGAAAAGTTTCAAAGATTTATAATGAATACAAAAAAAGCCTTAGCATTTATATATATGATCACGATGAAAAATATTAAGTCGTGAAAAACGTTTAAACTTTTGAAAGTCAATAAAATTCATGAAACTAAACCTTGGCCTTCATTCTTACATATATTGCAATTTAGGTCACAGTCAATAGTTTAAGACAGTAATATATTCTAAGTTATTACATATTATTAAATAAATATATTAAAATTAAATGTATTAAAATATTACAATATATATCAAATGCACTAATCAATTGTTTTGAAATTATAAAACATTCATTTTATGTTCATATGATAATTGTAAATAAATATTATTAAAAACCACCCCGTTCATATGTGATTCCTTCTTTTTTAATGATTGAAGCATTTCGCCGCTTTTTTGCTAACGCAATTTTTTTTCGAGCAATTGCGTACACCGCCAATCTTTTTCTTTTCCTCTGATAAACTCTACGGTAGTCTCGCCAAACAGCCAGCATTTTTGACTGTTTATTTGAAGCAAGCCCATTTTCCTTTTGCAAATTTTCTAATGATTTTTTGTACCAAAATTGAATTCACAAACTGCATCACAAACAGCAATAGTTACTCGACGCAGTGTCGCTGACGTTTCTTTTGAACATTTACCCCCATATGATGCTGTGAAGGCTCTCGTTTGCATTTTGTGTCACACATCTTATGCATCTTTGAAAGAGTTCATTCGAAGCTAATCTTTGATATATTGGCATAATTTTGGCTAAATGAATTTCCTTCAAGGGTGTCTTCACATGCTTCACGTGAGGACCCGGTACTTCACCACGAGCAAGAGCAGCCTGGAAAAAGCACCAAGAATCTTTTCCAGTCGGACATTTAAAATGTTGAGGTTTTTGGTCCGTTGATATACTATGAAACAATGTTGCCTAAATTGCAGTTTTCATTGCTTCTACGTCACCTTTGTTCGAGCGAATCGCATTTTGATAGTAACGTGACAATTTTTTAATTGTCTTTCTTTAAACTACCACGGGATTTCCCTCCCAAGGAAACACCTCTTGCCCGCCATTCTTTAACAGCTTTTCGTAAAGATGTACCTAGCCTCTTGCTAGCATGGTTTATGCACTCTTCTTTCTTTATTTTTATCTCAGGACATTAACTTCCTTAGTATTTAAATATTGATATGTTTTTGCATCACCATCTGACAATAGTGTCGTGTATCGAAAACCACTATCTTCAGATCTTTGCATAATTTAAGAGAAGCCTCTTGTTTCATGGCACAAGATGATCCTACGTGATTGATAGCACATAAAGATATATGTCCTTCGTACCACACATGAAAAATTCTGCTGAATTTTCTCACAAACCAGATTTTGCGTGTTCACATTCAATGCAGCGTTTCGACATATATAATTTCAAAATCCATGACAAATCCAGTAAGAAGGTCAATCACGCAACCTACACCTATTTGAGATGAATGTCCCTGAGTCAACCAAGTACCATCAAAAGTAACATCTATATCAGTAATGGCACTATTACTTTGATAAGCACTTTTCACCTGACTTCGAACATTATTCAAACTTTTTACTGTAGATCTAACCAAAGATTTACATAACTTTTTTTTATATATATTGAATGTTCTGCTTGAGGGCAAATCCATATTCATTAACATACAAAATTTTTCCATAGCTAAATAGCCTTTCCCAAAACTTAAAAATGATTGCACCATGCGCATGTTTATGTCGAATGATTGGTTTTCAGTACCTTCACTGTCAGAAATTCGTCTGGATGTAAAGTTACTTGATTCAATTATATCACAAGAAGTGCAAAATACAGAGATGTTTCTGGAGAATCCAAGCTTTCCACCAATGTCAATTTTTAGTGAATACGATTTGCAAACATCACACAATAAGTTTTTTAAAAGTCCTTTTAAAAACTGTACATCCATTATCACATAATGAGGGGCTTCAGAATTTTCACAACAATTTAAATCATTCAAGCAGCTGTCTTCTAAAGTTTGGCACATCTCATATTTCTTTCTGGTAATGCTGAGGAAATAGAAGTTTCATCTTTTCTGAAAACATGTTTCATGACTGTAGTGTTCACTGCACCATCTCTTGTTAGCTTTTTGTTTACTAACAAGACTCGATCGCTTTTGTCTAGGCATGATGAATTAAAGTGTACTTATTAATAAAAAGATATTCAAACGAATATTTAAAATTATAAAGAAATAAATTGATTATATAATTGGCTTTGTGAGAGAGAAAAAAGCCTTTAGTTTTGATACTAATGGTTTTAGAATAAGAAAAAAAGGATGCAAAAAGCAAAATGGAATAACGTTTCTCTCTTGCATAAAAACAAACGAATTTAATTCACTTCTCTTCTAATTAAAGTATAAAGCTTTAGAATCGCGTGTAAAAGTAAATCAATCGAAATTGTTTTGGCTAGGATGATAGCGTCTGCATAAGAAGCAGACGGCATGTCTTTTAGTTTCGGTTTCGCTTCAACATACTGTCAAAAAAATTTAAATAACTCGCAAAATAATGCAGCTACAGCTACCAAATTTTATAAACATATTTAAAAAAGTCACACAACTAAAATAAGGCAATAAAAAAAATTCGTTAAAATCGTCATTTTTAGGGTAATGTGTCCCCTTAAAGTTCTATACCTCTAAAAAACACCCTTTTACAAGTATCCAACAAAACGAGCCCTTTACACCCAGCATCTAGTGATACACCTTCGTCTGAACATATTGCAAATGAGAGCCCGTTTATCTTGAAACCTAACTCAGAATCCTTGGACACATAAATAATGAGAGCATGTTCTTTTCACTGATATGTTGGGATTCGGAAGATTCGGTGGTTCTGGCGAGTTTTCATCTAAAGAAAATATATAAATCACTATCATCGATATAATGTAAGAAAAACGGACCAATTTGGTATCTGTGGCGGCGTCATGTTGAACAGATGTACACCGCTGAATATCAATGCTACGGAAAATATTACTTGACAGCGCTATAAATATGAGGTCCTTGAAGACCACATGAGATTTTTTCTGGGTGTTCTAGGCCTGTACATCCTTTTCATGAAAGCCAATATAAAATTTTATAACTCTCCCATTGTGTTGATGATTTTTTTAAATCCCATTGTTTTATTTTTTTAAAAAGAATTGTCCCGGAAGTCCCCAGATCTCATTCCTACTGAGCATGATTAAGTTGCTCTAAGAAAAGTCACTGCATTCCATCAACCTTTCCCAGGATTCTCCAGGTGTTAAAAGTCGTGCGGTTGGAGAGAATGGGATTCATCAATACAAGTATTTCTTGATAACGACAAAAAGTTTGACGGTTCGTTGTGCCACTAGCAGTACACGAGGGATACATTTCATATTAGACGAACCTTTCTTGAAATAATGTATTACGGTTTTATCGCTTTTGATATAACCTGTATTTTACATATAACTAACAACTCTCTCTTTTTCTATATTGTTTAGTTTTATGCTTTCTCCCATAGTAATGTACCAAACTTGTGCCTTAACAATCCGAATATTTTTCCAGTTATCGCATATTTTCTGTTTGAGACCTTATTTTGGGCGCCAGTGTACTTTCATAACTGTGATACAGACATGAAATATTCAATGAAGAAAATAAAGACTTTTTGCCGAGCAATATTTCCCCTTATGGGATTGATTGATTAATTGAATACTAACGTCGCATTGTTCAGCTACACGAGGGCTTTTGGCGACGGACCACGTAATTTTGAACCATGGTCGAGTGACGTGGACGACACCTGGGCCCCTTCTCCTAACTACCATACCACACCAATGGGAGGACGTTTCAGCTCTTGACAGATTTAACGTGCATCGCTGCTCTACACGGTGGTCTTTAGTGGTACTGGGCTCGAACTCGTGACAAGGCAAGCCACGATACGATACCTATACCATTGGGCTACTGCGGCCATTTTCCCTTATGAGAAAAAGCATAATCAGATATAGCAGAGAAAGGTACAATCGATTTATTAGGAGCTACTGCAAGACAAAAAATCTGCACATCCAAAGCACATTATATACATTCCATATACTCTTGGAATATATTTATTCCAAAGATTTTTAACCTGAGATCCATATCACTCATGTCACCCTTCCCTTTTCTGTTTTTTATCTGCGCATTATCTTTTTATATAGCTACACATTTTCTATTTTTATATTAATGCTAGTTTTTTTTTGTTTAAAATTATATTTCGTTTGATCCCAAAAGCTAAAAAAATGTTGAATAGAAATTTTTTTTATCCTCAAATATCTGAAATATTTCTTTAACATTAGATTTTCTTTTCAAACATCATAACTCGGAACTTTTTCCGCAGAACTTTAGGATATTTGAAATTCTAACTAATTTTAAAAAGGTAACACATGGGGGGAAATCCTATTCAATAAAAAAACTGTGCTTTGGAAGTTAATTTTCTGTGTTAATTAAATAATCAACTAATCCTTTAACACCCTAATTTAGTTTCATTTGAACCACGTCCACACTGATTGTTATCAATTTTATCCTGTTAAGATAATTATGGGAGTTACTAAAAAAATCCCTATATCTTCTTTTCTCGACGATTCTACCATAAAAAAAACAAAAAAAAACAAGTAATATAAAAAAATAAGTCAATTCCTACTTAGGTAAACAAAGCAAAATTTTATTTTAGTTACTGTTTGTTAAATAATTACAATTAATATAAATATGTATATACATATAACAGACTCACAATATTAAATGACAAAATAGAAAGCGATTTTCCTTCCATATTAAGGTGTTGGACTATTATTTTTGTTTGTTACTATTTATTCATTAATTAAATTTAATTATTCCAATAAAATAGTATAGTAAAAGGAAATCACACTCAGAAATTAGGTCATCCCAGGTGGAAATCGAACCCACGACATTTGTATTAGAAATCCAACGCGCTATCCATTGCGTTAGAGGGATACAACGAACGAATTTCCTTTCTGTATATGGTGTTTGACTATTATCTTTGTTTGTTACTATTTATTCTTTTAAATTAATTAATGAATTAATATTTGAAAACTTTATTAACTCTATTGACATCCACTACAAGTTAAAAATATATGTGAACTTGAGTGAATGAATAAAAAATATTTTATTAACAATTGAAAATTTGAACATATATATACGGTCGGACCTCGATATAACGAAGTCACTAAATTCTGGAGAAAAGTTCGTTATATGGAAAATTCATTGAATAGAGGTTCATCTTTTAATATACTTTATAAACCACATAAAACAAATTTTAAATTCATAAACACTATGTATAAAAAAGTAATTATTCACACTCTTTTTTTAAAAAATTTTAATATATAAATATTTTATATATCTTACCCATCAAAAAAGAAAGGAAGAAAGAAAAACTGCAAGGAAAAGAAAAAAGAATGTTGAAGAATTCACTGTATTTTCAATACTAAGGAAATAATTTTATACTAAAATCAATGAATTTTAAGGACATTTTATAATTTAAAGCATACAAGTTTTTTAAACATACATTATTTTATAATTAGAACACAGGGACACGGGACAACTCCTCTGAGGGTGAAAGAGGATATCGAAGATGTTTCTAGTGAACTGGGCAATGGGGAGGGGGGTTAAAGGTTGCACTTCTTGGATAAAACGTCCAGAACTCTATTGCTCTTGGTGAGTTAGGAACTAATAAAATCGGTTCAAGATTTATAACCACCATAAAATGTGCTGAAGGGAGAATAACTTCAATTTTTTTTTCAGAAATACTTTAAGAAAAGGAGAACAAAAATTGAATCACAAAGCAAAAAGTTCGATATATAGAAAATGCACTTCGCTATAGAGAGGCTTTTTTACGAAGAAAATCGTGAAATGTTCAAGGCTCCAGGAAAAAGTTAACTACATAGAAAAATTCGCAATAAAGAGGTTCGTTATATAGAGGATCGACTGTATATATATATATATATATATATAGGGAGAGTGTGCACTAATAGTAGGAACTGAAAAACTTTAAAAGATCACATTCAATGAATTTATAAAGAATTCTATGTTTTGTAGTTGTTTTTTCTAATGATATGCGAAGCTCTTCCGGAAGTACCATTTCGTTTTACCACAGCACTACTTTTGCAGTTCAACACTTTCGTTTACATGCCTCTGGTTGATCGTCAGTCCAGTGAGAGTATTATAACCGGACTGTGTTGTTTTTACAAGTGTTAGTGAGCGTTCAACATGTTTAAGACGATTGCCATTTCCGCCGATTTTTAAGTGCATTCTGTAATGCGTTTTTTTTAACTCAAGGAACGTTACTCCAGTTGAAATTCATCGTCAACTTGTAAAGATTCATGGTCAAAATATAAGAGTGATGAAATGGTGGGTTCGAAAATTCTCTAATGGGTGAACCAATGCTCGTGACGAAGCACAGAGTGGGAGACGTTTTGTTGTTAATGTTGGTTAGCAGGGGCGTAGCTACCGCAATATCAGACGCTCCAATCATATGAGGCCCAGAAGCTACAGGGGGCCCCAATATGTTTGTTTGACACTTTCAAATGTTTTATTATTGTGATAATTTTTTTTCCAAAAAAAGGGACCCTCAAGGAGTTTTGATGTAGGGCCCACTTAAGACTAGCTACTCCATTGGTAGTTTGGTTGAAAAAGTGAATGAGAAAATTCATGATAACACAGACCATTCATAATAAGATTACTTTGTAATTAGTTTCTGCAAATTTTGAAATTGTCCACTGGCGGCATCTATCTTAAGGTCCGACTAACCTAAAATCATGAATTTCTTCAAAAATTGACAAATTTTTTGTGATTTTATTTTATAGGCCATCTTATTAGCTTTATAAAAATACCGAGCGTTTTATTTTCCATTCACTAGAACAGAAACTACAAGTCTTTTAGTAAAAGCAAATGTCATAGCTTTACACAAGATGTCAAACTTTAAAATGCGTTTTACTCGAAATGTGGTTTTTTTCCCGAAAAGATTAAACGGGGACAGCGATTGCTCAAAGAGTTTTGAAAATAATTTGCTAAATTTTTTTTGTGTATGTTCTGTATAACAGTAGAAGTGTTTTGATCTTCAGATTTATCAGTCACTGTTTTATTTGCAAATTTACAGTCCTTTATATGAATATAATCACTTTTTTTAAGCAATTTCATATAATAACTAAAATAAAGTGCTCTAGTTTTTGTAAAAATTAAAAATGTCTCTTATCCTGAAGGTAATTTCAAACATGAATAACAAAGTAACACATCAAAATTGAAAATTGAGAATTTGTTCATAAAATTTTTTTGTAAATACAATTTTACCGGTTTTTCCCCCATTTTACTAATGATAACTTTTTTCTGTTTTCAATTTTATGATTTTTTCCTTAAAATATACTAAATAAATCTAAAAATCACAAAAAAATCTTCATATCTCCATTTTTTCAAAAAAAAGTTGTCGCAAGTAGGCGGATACCTTAAAAGGGTATAGATAAATTGGTTTCCCGATATGAAAAATGCCAGAATAATGGGGTTAGATATGTAGAAAAATAGCTTGCGACATGTTCTTTCCTGTAAAAATAAATTTTGCTTTGAAAAAAGATTTCTTTTTATGCGAGTTTTTTCCAAAATGGTGCTTAATTTCCAAACACGCCTCGTAAGTATTTTTTTTTTCATTCCATATATTGGTTTTTCACGAAACTAAGTTGCTTCTTTATTTTTTTTTGCTTTTTATTAACATTACGTAAATGATTTATTTTAAAGGCATATTTGCTCAAACTGTCTGTTTAAAAACACTTTTTGTATCAAAATAAGGTAAAATACTGATAAAAAGATTTTACTTTTTGCATATCCCACTTCCCACTAAAAACTGTGATTCTAGAAAGCTTTTTCAAAAAAATTTAAAGCACAGAATAAATTATATCAAATGATTCAGCAAAGAATAAACAAATGTCAATAGCAACATTTAATTTTCTGAAGTTAGTTTATCAAATACATAATACATGTTCTCAATTTAAAAAAAACATTATTTTTTTTTAAAAAAAAACATTCTGTTTCTGACGTAACAAATAGCGTAAGACAGTCTGAAATTTTAACGAGGAATATATTTAAGATACTTATCAGTTATTTTTTAAAAAGCTATGTAAAAATTGCTTTTTTTGCGCTACAGTTACGGTCTCCGTTAAACTTAGATGTGCGAGCTGTTTGTAGAACTTTTAACTTGTATGAAGGCTGCGTGCTCATTCAGGGAAAAGATGCTTTCTTTAAACATATCTATAAACACTTGTTATTGCTACAAGCTTTTTTCTTACGGTACCCGACTACATTTGGAAAGTGATTTTTCAAAAGCATACAAACGAATATTTTTAATATTTAATGTCACTTAGATTAGAATACACGTATAAAATTGTCTTAAGAATATTATTACAATAAAAAAATTATTTAAATGCAATATTTTGGCAAAAAAATGAACTTCGAATTACCTTTTTTCTCTCAAAACATTCTCCTTTTATAAAAAATGCTTTCATAATAATAATATTTCGCTTATGTACAGCTAAGACTTCCCCAGAGGGCCTAAAAATTACGACTTTTCAAAAATTTATATTATTTTCAGAGTTACTATCAATTGAAATAATAATCAGTGTTTTTCTGTTAAAATTTCTCCACTCTGATGTATTAAAATATGGATAAATCCAGCTCTAAATTAAATATCTCAAAAATTCAAGTTCAGATTATGTACAGAGGTCTGAGTTACATTTAGGCAAAATAATATTACAGAAGCGTTTTCCAAAAAAGAAGAATATTCGGAAAATAAATAATTCGATGTTCATTTTTTGCCAAAATATTGCATTTAAATCATTTTTAATTGTAATAATATTCTTAAAACAATTTTCCTACGTGTATTCTAATCTAAAAGTGCACCTAAATATTAAAAAAAAATATTCGTTTATACGCATTTGAAAAACCATGGTTCCGAGCGTAATCAGATACCTTAAAAAAATTAATGTTATGCTAAAAAACGTTGAAAATATAAATAACCTATAAAACATTAACATTGATTATTATATTAAAATCTGAGAACTGTTTCTGTATTAAAAACATGAAGTAAATATGCTATTAATGTACTAGAATTAATGTTGCTAAATTTTCGAAATTCATACCTGTTTTTAGAAGAACATAAATAAATCAAACTTTTTTGTTGTTTTGAAATCGAGTATATTCTGAATTTTACTTTTAATTTGAGTAGATGTTGTTAGTTTTGTACCATTATCATTAAAATATTTATTTTATACAATATCTGTGAAATATTAAAATATTATGTAAAATATTTGCTTTAAATAATATTTGATATTCAAATGTTTCTTAATACTAAATTCAGAATTTAGCCCAAGAATATTAAATACTCAAATAAAAAAAATTCCTGATAATCAAATTTTGACACATTTTTAACTAATTTTTAATTTAAGATAATATTACAGGAAAAGACATGGCGAATATCCATACGTTTGATTTAAAATTATATTGGAGTAAGTTTTCCCACTTTAAATATCATTTAATAATTAGAATGTTAAGAAGTATAGTGCGAAATTTTTTACAACTAATGATTTCAGACACTCCAGCTATGTTTCCATTCTTAAACATTTCGCAGACTTAGCCACTCTTTAATGCATATTTGTAAATACTGGAATACTTTTTACATATTGTAGGATAAATGTCTTTAATTCCTACATTATATGCTTCATCCGAAAAATTAATTTTGTATTTCAAGGTACTCAGAATTCCAGTGATTATGAAACCAACTTTAAGTCATTGACATAAACACCATGTTCTGTCTGTCGGAAACTAATCTTAAGCAAAAAACACTTAAGGTATCCGACTACGTTCGGAACCGTGATTGTGCAAAAGCGCATAAATGGATAATATTTATGATATTTAGTGTCACTTAGATTAGAAAATGTATATAAAATTATTTT